TGTGCAAATAGCTAGAATCAAAAAAATTTCCAAAAGTGAACAAATTAATCTATATCCATGCATGAGTTAAAGAAAAAAAAAACTCGGCCCTAGGCTCATACAATGGCTGTTTAGGACACATGATTGACGCGATTGCGAATTTAGACATGGTTGTACTCGCTACCATCGTTTACAGACAGTTTAGTTAACGTACGGTTTATAAATTTTGCACCGTTTAATTCAAAAGAGAAAAATGTAAAGGTTAGAAGAAAAGTGAGAAAAGAACTACTCAACCTCTTATTATTTGGTATACCACTGCTTGTGATCTGACGAACTTCACAACAATTTTTTTGCTCGAATTTTTTCCTTTTTTTTTTATAGCTAGTATGAACAGTATCAATTGGATTTCTGGGTATTTTTTATGTGATATAAGTAGACCTATACAAAACTTATAATTCATTCTAACATGTTATCCTTTTATAGTCTTCGTGCATATCGTCTCTTTTTAATTTGTAAGGAAATGCCTGGAAAAAACAAATTTTGAGCTGGATACAAAAAAAATTCTTCAATGATCAAATGAAAAAGCAAAAGTAAGGATAAAGTTCAATTCATTTTTTTTATATAATCCTTCTGCTGGTTGCACGGTTTGATATTAATATGGTTTCTATTCAATCTGCTTCATTTCTTCGCAAGTTCTCCGGTCTCAAGAATTTCAGGACAAGCGTTTTTCCGCAGTTCATTGAATTCACTTCTATATCACTGTCGAAGTTCAATTGTACTTTTGATTCTGATGGAATTTCTTCACCAGAGACTATTTGAGAAAATTTCTAACTACATAATAATTTGGATTACTTAACATACGATCGATTTCAAAGTGATTTGTTTCCTCCTTCGAAAAATGATATATTCTGCACTAAATATTTTATATTTTCATAAAAAAAATACATCAATAATACCATTCTATACATCAATTGAAATTCTCAATGCCAATTTTGCAGCATTTGCGGACTCTATTTTAATGTAAAAGCATCAACACTCACCATTGATGACAAAATCAGTTCATGGGAGATGAAAAAATAAGTAAATAAATAAATACATCTACATAAATATATCTACTGACAGTAGGTATCTACCAAGGGAGGCAGTCCTCGGGACTCCAGCGTCGCTCTTCTTCGAACGATGCAGGTATAGCCAAAACTATAATAGAACCAATAGAATCTGGTGATTTATACAATCAACTACTACCACTTTTCTACTCATTAGGTATATTCCTACCATCGACGAGAATCCATACCTCAACGTTAAACGTATAGTATACCTAGTTAGATTTTATCACAACACCTGTCGATTTGACCTATTTACTCGGCAAATCAAAAAGTTGCGTGTAAAAATTTACAAAACTCGTACCTCACGAGTCTTCTCACAGTGACACCCCTAAGGGCTTGTCTTCCTCTTGCCGGGCACTAGCGCCTCTTTCCACGTAATTAAAGTCCAAAGGGTCGACTACTCCCACGCACACACACGCGTTCGAGCGAGTGGGGGAGAGAAAGGAAGTATTTTCTATTAACATTCCTGGTCAGCTCAGCTCTCGCACTTGCGAGATGACCGGGGCGTAATTGTCGCCACCCCCTCCCTCCTCCTTCACTTGCTTGACTCGGAGTGTGTCGTCTCAAAATATCTCGGGCTCGCTGCTTGGAGTTAAAACTTGGTCACTTTTATCGTGGGGCAAGATTGGGACAGTTCAATGTAGCAAAATTTACTAATTAGAAAGGTTATTATATTGTTCAATCAATCAATAAAAAAGTTCCTTTTCAAACTTAGCAGAAAATTTTTTGACACCAATCATGTGACAACTTGCACTACCTCCAATTTCCCTGCATCATCATTCACCTCCAGCAGCACTGATCTTCACTTACACAGAAAACAGGGAAAGGGTGAGAGAGGGTGGCAACTACCAAGTCCACATAACACCCCTATCACCGTTTAAACGTTTGCATTTAGCGTCCTTTTACACGTGCACACACACCTTACACGTAATGGCACTGCGAATCCTATCAAAGATTTGGTCTTCCAAAATAGAAGCCCAAAGTTTAGGAAGTTGGCTTTCGTAACCACTAACTTTTCGCCCTTCCTTCACTGTTGGACAGGAGGAAATCTCTCACTGCAAAATCGGTCAAGCGGCCAATTCAACCCCACCTTACCGAATTGAGCAGCTCTGAGAAGGAGAAAGAGAAGTACGAGAAGTTTTGAGAAGAAGGAATAGCAGAAGTCGGAGTTTACTCCGATTCTCGACTTAACGGATCGCACGAGCTTACGCAATACTGAATATTCATGAAAAAATTTTTTGTAAGTTCTAAAATGCGTCTATGATAAGATTAAGCTTTCAAAAGTAAAGGCGATAAAAAGACACAAGCTCTGTTAACATTTACATATGAGTATTGATTTGGTGCAAAATTAACAAATAGCTGCTGTTACCTCCACTGGCTCCTATATACTTAAGTTTAGGGGTGTACTACGTGCACAGAAAAGTTCCTCAGTAGTTGAGTGTAAGTAGGGAATTGAATTGTATGGTTTACTCGGTGGTCAAGTCCATTGCTGATTTTTCCAATTGTATAGGGGTGGTATAGGATACTTGTATAAACCGCCTATATGTATAAACCGCCCAAGTTGAAGGAAGTAATGTGAGAGATGTTCCCATAAACAATACAAAAATGATAAACAACTTGATAAATAGCTCAGCAATTCGTCTAGTGCAGAGCCAGTAGCGACATCTACAATGTGACACCCGTTGGATCAGTCTGAAAGTTTTACCCCTAAAATTAACGTGAAAAGACGCTTGACAAATCGTAGCAATCACTGCAATGTATTAAAATAGTAAAGCGTTAACTGGGTAAGTCTTTAACATGGGATGCATAAATAAATTCTGAATCGAATGTAATTAAAAATATTATGATAAAATTATTTGTGTGAACGTTCGGCACACTTCAAGTATGTAGGGTAGGACAATCCTACTAAGATCTATCCTAGGGAGGCCATCCTACGTCTATACTTTCTGATTGTCTTTATTTGGTTATCCTAATGGTGTAGACATAACTTTTGGTTTGTACCTAACACGTAAGACGTAATAAATTATGGTGTTTGTTGCCTTGATTCTAATTATTTTAATGTTAATTCTCGTAATAAATCGGTAAACGTATATTTATAAGGATTTATAAACTAATCATCGAATGCCAGATAACGACATCTTAATGCAAGTAAAATAATACAATGCAAGCACTACCCCCGTGGTCCCCTATAAGAATCAATCTGAAGAATAGATACTTACCAATTTGATCGAGTTAATGCGTCTTCTGTTGGTGTTTAAATTAGCTCGACAAAAAGGATTATCTTCTTGTTCCAGAAAGACTGCACGCACTGCAATATGTTTCCCTCCCAATTATTTTCCAACAATTACACTCTGGTTCATCACAAACAAACAAAACCCCAGAATCCACAGGTACCGATGGTGTCGATCAGCGCGCGAAAACACAGCCTCTCGTCTACTCAGTGGCAACGACCGGAACGACAAAAGCTCGCCGGAAGCTTCGGTTCAACCTTATGGCCCTTGCGATCGAGTGAGTGCACCAAAGGACACAAAAGGGCAAAAAAGCTTTGCAACGACGACGGAGAGGGCAGAGCTTGCGACTTGCGGGCACGAGCGCGTAACGCAGACTGACGGCTCGTTGGGAGCAAACGAGCGACGCCGGACGTCGCGACGCCGCTATAAACGTGCTCTTCTGCGTGTGGGGGGTTGTACGAGTGTGCAACTGTGTGTGCGCGCGCTGCCCTTACCACCGACGTCGACTGGCCGGGAGAGCGTGGCGAGAGACGTTTTCCGATCGCTGTAGTGATCAAGTGCAAGTTACAGGTCCATTCAACCCTGGTAACTTCTTGTCGTGTCTCATTATTTTCTTTGGCACAATGTTTTGTTGATTTCTATGTTTCTTTCTTATCAACGCGTTTTATTGATAAAACCAAAACCACGTGAACACTGCACACAAAAAGATCCTTAAAATATAAAGTTAACAACAATCATTTGGTATTTCGTTTTTCATCTGCGAGTGGATCCCCACACAGCCATATGTTGTAAACATAAAAGTGCAAACTCGTGCAAGCCCAAAAGCTGGGGTGGGTGATAGCGAGCAACTGTTGCATCCTCTCTTTTTCTTCAGTGCTGTGGATGTAAAAGGGCAGAGCGAAAAAGGGGACGGTATAATGTTTTATGCTAAGGGTCGTGGCGGCTATTCAGTGCTCATCTTCCGTCTTGAGAAAGCGGAGATTAGTGGCGATTATGGGCAAAAGGAGAGTCTACGGGTTACAGAGAAGCAAGGATTAAAATGATGCTAGGGCATATCTGTATACACCAAGGAGCTGGTTAATGACGCTTTTTGCTCTGTTTGTCATGGCATATCTGTTAGCATTTCTGGGAAAAAATAGGTGGCTTATTTGGAGTTTGTTTGTTTTTAGCAAAATATGTATCTGTACATAAGGTTTGAAACAAGAAAAGATAAAAAAGAATGCCATTAGAATAATGGAGTCTTGTCTTTAAAATTGTTGTGCATAAAAATATCAAGTGTTTGATAATATATTTTACGTGCTTTACCCAATTTGATAACAGAAACGAATCGGTACTCCAAATAAAGAGTTATCAATTCCCCAAATCATGAAAACGTGGATTTATTTTCCGTACACTTGACATCATGGTACCATTTTTCATCCATACAGTGTCAAGTACGACCAGACCAGTAAATATAACTGGTATGTAATTTAAAAGTCGTTATTTCCGAAAATATCGTGCTTATCGTTTGATAAACACGCTCCCAAAAGTACACGTATTACAGCGAGACTCAGCCATAGAGCGAATAACTTATCAATAATCCAAGAAGCGCGCATCCGATGATTATCTCCGAGTCGCGCCGCTGATCGCGTAGGTGTATAAATAGCTGCGCCGGTAAGCTCGCGCTATCAAATTTCGAGCAAACATGCGCCGGCTTATAGTCATTCTGGTGGTCTCCCTCGCTGCAGCCTCAACTCGCGCCAAGGACGACCACGACACATCTTCCATCGATGGGTACGTAGATAACAATTTCAACATCACTGACATCTATCACCTTCTTCTAAAGTATGAACAGTCAAATATACCGTCGATTCTGGTTTGGACTTTTAAGCATGCAAGGTATCAGGATATGGTGCGGGGATCGATGGGAGCACGATCACGTGTACACTTTCGTGGACCAAAGGGGCTTTGATTTTCTGAGGCTACCATGGGACACCGAGTCTCCGATCGATGTCTTCGTGGCTGCAGATCGGCTAAATGAGTTCAAGAGTGGTCTGGACGAAAATCGAATCCGTTATCAAGTCATCGTCCAGAACATGAGCGAGCACCTGGAGAACGAAGTGGCTGTACAGAGGATGGCACGGAGGAATCGCTTCGGTGGCGAGATATTTGCTACTTTTCCGCGATACGACGAGGCAAGCATTGAGCAATGGCAGCAGCAACCAGTCGATTGACCGATCCATCGTGTTGTTTTGGTTCTGTTGTTGCAGATGCAAGATTACCTTCGAAAGCTGGCAGAGACCCGTGGTGACATCGTAAAGTACTTTACGATCGGGAGGAGTTACGAGGGCCGGGACATCGGAGCTGTGAAAATATCGTCCGGGGGAGAGAACAAGCCCGCGGTGTTCATTGACGCCGGCATCCACGCGCGCGAGTGGGTGGCTCCTACCACGGCTCTCTACGCCGTGAAACAGCTCGTGGAGAACGCGACCAATCACCATCTGTTCGAGAAAGTTGACGTCTACGTTGTGCCCTCTTTGAATCCAGATGGGTGAGATGAGATGAAAAAATTATCTTTATGAGTATTCTTTTTAGTAACTTGGTGTGCAATCAAACCTCAAGTTCCTATAACTGCATACATTGTGCAAACGTCTCGATTCTAGTATTGTTTGCCAAATGATATTTATCAGAAATTCCTTTTTTTTTAATTAGATGAGTGTGTAAAGCACACGATTTTTGCACAGGTGTAACAATTAAGTTGTGCAAATGTACACTAAGATTGGCAAAAATTTCAAGTTACAATATTCTAACTCGTGCAACTTAATGTATGCCCATGCGTGAAGTAAAGGACTTTGCACATTGTCCTTGAATTAAGCACTTGCGCATCAAGTATCGTAAAATAGTACATTTCTTTTATCAATCGACAACAAAGAGTAACAAAATATTTATTTGCGTATACAGATACGAGTACACTCATCAAACCAAAAAGGTAAATTGGAAATGATGATGTTGATGGAAATAAACTATGTTATTTTTTTAATTCCATGATCTTTTGAATTTTAAACTTTTAGAGTCGCATGTGGCGAAAGACTCGTTCCGTCAACCCAAACTCTTCTTGCCTTGGGGTATATTCAATGCCAAATTATTTAAAAAAATTAACGCTAGGGTGTTTATTTTATTTTTTAATTAAATTCTTCAAGCTTCCGAGTCTTAAATGGAGGTATTGTTTTTTTTAATAGTAAAAGACTTCAGAGACTTGAGAACTGCACAACATGTTCTTTTAAAAAAATTCTTAAACGTTCTACAAGTAGAGTAAAGATAAAACTGATTCTCAAATTATGGTACTAGTCGGAAAACAATTTAAGTTTAAGATAACAAGGAAGCATCAACGTAGTCGAAAAAAAAATATTAACTAGATAAATCAAGGACACCCTAGTGACCGCATTATAAATAGGTAAAGTTTCGACATTTTCGTATCTTAAATGACAAATGGCTTTTATCCATAGGTAGACGCAAATCGGAATTTCGAGTACAAGTGGATGAGTAAGTCTGATAAGTTTTCAACAAATTAAATAAACCGATGATCTTATCGTGTAAATGAATTTGAATGATTATCGCACGATTATCAGCCATCGGAGCGTCAAGTGATCCCTGCTCAGACATTTACGCTGGTTCAGAGCCATTCTCCGAGCCTGAAACTGCAGCACTGAGGGACTTTTTTCTGGCCAACAAAGGGATCAAAATTTACCTTTCCTTCCACTCTTACGGTAGGCATCAGTTTTTCAATAACCCCAATTTACATGCATCATTCTCTGATGTCGTCATTTTTCAACGCCAACAGGTCAGTATTTGCTTCATCCTTGGGGATGGACCTCATCACTTCCTTCCAATGAACCAATACTCGTGAGTTTGACATGGCAAAATAACATTACGGTATTCGTTTGATCAATCAATAAAAAAGTATGACATTTACTTTTTCTTTGAACAGAGGGCTGTCGCTGAAAAAGCTGAGGCTGCCCTGTCCAAAGTCCGAGGAACTCGTTACATGATTGGCAGCTCCACAAATGTATTGTGTAAGTTTTGATAAAAATGACTTTTGTGGATACAAGAAAATCAAAGTCACTTTTCTCGTATATTAGTGTTTGTGATTACGAAACTCTTATCAACCAACAAGCCACGATTAAATTCTCTTACATCTTATCGCGCATCGCTGCTTGTGCGTATCTTTTGCCACGAAAAGAGTAAATTAAACTTCTCGAAGCGTAATTCATTGCCAGTAGGTGTTGCTGTAATCTGGGCATTATTTTTAAATCAATTTATGGAATAATCATGCAAAATTTTTCCTATTCAAGTTCAGTGGGTTAGCAATTAATGTTTCACTTGAAATTTTCGATCACACAGATTCAGCTGCCGGTGGAAGCGACGATTGGGCACAGGCACGGGGTGGCGTGGAATTAGCCTACACCATAGAACTGCCAAGTGCTGCGTTTGGTTTCGCACCTCCCCCAAAGGAGATCGTGCCCATTGGCATGGAGACTTTCGAGGCCATCAAAGTGTTCATTCAGTACGCTGAAGCTGGGGAAAGTTTTGAGTCGACACTAAGTTGAAAGAAAAGAAAAAAAAAATTATAATTTAATAGAAGATGTAATGTTAGTAAAACTCAACGTTTTACATACTTATTTATGCTTTTTCTCAAATTCTTCCAAAAAATTATTGTAGGTTTTTCTATGAAACTAAGAATCCTTAATTTTTCCGGGGCAAATAATGATCAATTCCACCTCCCAAGCAAGTATTTACACCTGAAAATTTATAAACTGGCGTCACATTGAATTGTCATTGTTTCGAGTGTAGTGCATGAGCATGCATTTATAAATGTTTTATTGTCTCATTATCCACAACAGCACGATGAACACTCTGAAAAAGTGGCATCAATCCGATCTTGGTCAGTTATACATCGTAGCCTCTTCTTTATCTCACCATTTCTGAATCATGTTTCCCCCATCCGAGTCACTGCTAATCTGCACTTTGGTAGAACAAAAGATGACACTGGATAGCTTCCACGGCTCTGGACATTAAACGTGAACGTCTTTAATAAAAGGATGCAACAGTTGCTCGATATCGCCCCACCCCCACGTTGGCACTTGCATAAGTTAAAGGTGTCCTTCCACCCTTCGGCTTTAATGTTCGTAGTGCGGATATCAGTGTGTAGTGAAGTGTATGCTTCAAGAACGAGGATTAGATTAAAAATTATAGATACTACAATACCATGACTTTTTCCTGAGTTCTGTGCCATTTTTAAAAATGAAATTTGGCCATTTCATAAGAATTTCGATAAATGACATTGTAATACATTTTTGACATTTATTACAGTTCTTTTAAACAATAAAAATTTTTTTTCTTTATTCCTGAATACTAAATACTAAGCTTCGAAAATGCTTCTTCACCCAATGAAATATAAAACATAGGTATTTTTTTTGTTTTTATACAAAACTGTTTGTCTGTTGTACACTTGATTGTTTTGGAAAAGCTGTTACTTATATCTTGTGAAAATATTAGGAAAAAAAAAAATATTTCTAGTACAGTTGAATGTACACCCAAGTGGATCAGAAAACGTCTCTCGCCACGCTCCCCCAGCCAGTCGACGTCGGTGGTAGGGGCAGCGCGCGCACACACAGTTGCACACTCGTACAACCCCCCACACGCAGAAGAGCACGTTTATAGCGGCGTCGCGACGTCCGGCGTCGCTCGTTTGCTCCCAACGAGCCGTCAGTCTGCGTTACGCGCTCGTGCCCGCAAGTCGCAAGCTCTGCCCTCTCCGTCGTCGTTGCAAAGCTTTTTTGCCCTTTTGTGTCCTTTGGTGCACTCACTCGATCGCAAGGGCCATAAGGTTGAACCGAAGCTTCCGGCGAGCTTTTGTCGTTCCGGTCGTTGCCACTGAGTAGACGAGAGGCTGTGTTTTCGCGCGCTGATCGACACCACCGGTACCTGTGGATTCTGGGGTTTTGTTTGTTTGTGATAAACCAGAGTGTAATTGTTAGAAAATAATTGGGAGGGAAACATATTGCAGTGCGTGCAGTCTTTCTGGTTGAAGAAGATAATCCTTTTTGTCGAGCTAATTTAAACACCAACAGAAGACGCATTAACTTCATTATATCGGTAAGTTATAGACGTGTTGTGATTAGTGATTGAACTTATTCCGTGAAATCGTTTTGCTAGAGCTTCTTTGTCCATCAGAGAAGTTTATTAGGGACAGCCATAATAAAAGTTAGTTTATTGGTTCGTCGATGTCATTATAAAAGTTAACAAAGGCCATATATGTGAATTTAATTTGACGCAAAAAATAGCATAGGAAAAAATAATTTGCAAGCTTGAGGTGTTTCTGTTCGTGAAAGACACGTGATGATATTTTGCATTCACAGGAGCTGTTTAATAAGTATTGGGCATAATAATTTGATTTTTGTAGAGTAATTTTAGTTTACGATCAAATTTTCTGTATTGTAGATCCAAGACAACACTCTTAATTATTACAACGATGGGTGCCTGAAAGTAAAGAATTAACTTCAATGACATTCAATTGAATTAAATTCATTCCTTTTTCACCATAGTTAGATGCGTAAATAACGAGTTTATTTCTGACGTTCAAAATCTAGTTATTTATTTATTATATTTTACACAGTGAATGTATACAAATAATCTTGGTCTCATGTTGGTCATGTGATAAAATTTTTTATAAAATATTAACTTCACGTATCCAACACCCACTTAATTTAATAAGTTGGTTATTTCAATCTTGTGAACCGTCAATTTAAATCGATACCTCTGGTCTTTGACACCTTGTTTGTTTTTAACATCACGTACAATTTGTACACACACGTATGCAAATCGATATTTCTGTAAGAAAATTTTTTTTTTCCTAGTTAATAACAATGTGAGTTAACTCTACGGACAACCACACTGTTGACATACAAGGAAATGTTATCGGGTCAAATGATGTGCGATAATGTACATTTAAGTAAAGTGGGGAAAAAGCGAAGAGTTCAACATAAGAGGGTGCAAAGTTTTTGAGGACGTGTAAGAAAAAATAGTACACGTTGGCATTGATAGCAAACATATGTATATTACGTAGAAGGAGTTAGGTAGGCGTTCTCTGTTCCAGCTCATTGAGTCGGAGGAATTTTTATTAGCCGTGACATCAGGGTTGGTCGGCTGGTGGTCGGCGATGAATACTTTAGCCGGCAGCGACGCATTATTCACGTGTTGCTGGTTATTTAGATTAATTATTTCGGGGGGACAAAAGTTTTAATGGCTTTTTAAAGTATGACGATTAGAGCTTGGCAAGGCCAAAGGGGTCGAGTACAACGTAAACAAGCCGGGGCGTGTGTAGCCGAGTAAATCGTGCGCTCGGTGTTTCTGAGTAACAAGTACACACGAGGGTGGGTCAAAATCTCGAAAAAAAGCATGAAGCTTTGGTGGTTTTTACGCTGAATATTTAATTTTCATCCCAGATGGGACGGTGAACGTTTTTGTAGTTTGGTTTCATTTCTTTGAAACATTAGAGCTTCCCAAACTTTGTTTGATCAAGACGTGGCTGTAAAAAACAAAAGTCAGATGCGCATTTTCTCGAGAATGGAAATTTACCGAGGAATGAAATTTACGAAAATCATATTATGGTCTTCAATTAACTGAAGATTCTGATTAACTGAAGGGAAATGGCCCAAAACAGACTTCATCAGAAAGTGAAGCAAGTTGTTCCTTCAAAAAGAAAGGCCATTCTATATAATTACTAACCACATTTTTCAGTTTTATCATGAGCGACAGAAAGCGCATCCTTTCAACAACCATTTGAAAAGCCTTTACTCCTGTAATGAAATTCAAGTCCCTACGACTTCAGGAAAAAAAAGAGTCCTTAAAGTGCGTACACACCCAACACCGCCTCTTGCGCGTAAATAAAGTCACGAGTTCGGGGGAAGCTGCGTTTCATTGGCAATGAAAAGAGTCGTGTCGTGGAAAAGAAAAGCACCCGCTGGCAGTAAAATTCGCGCTCATTTATTATCCCCTGTAAAGGAAAGGAAGAGAGTCACGTGTTACTGTTTTTCCCCTTATTTTCTTCGAAACACAGCGGGACATTAAATTTGAAATTTACGTGATTTTTCCTCGCACGCAACTCTACTCTATTTTTTTTCTATGTATTTACGTACTAGTACAAGACGACGCAGGAGTGTGAATAAAAAATTTCCGCTGTAGATCTGTTTTCTTCCTTGGGAGTCGAGAGATTTTTTATACATTCGGCATTTCGACGATGGCACAAGTGCACGTGCGATAATCTCGAGAGGTTTTTTCGATTACGGGGCATTGGCCTGTACCGCGAGTGATGCATTATTGATGCGCTCACGCATGGGATGCGTATTTTTTTTGTCTAGGCTCGCAACGTTTGGCAAGTCTAGCTTTTAGTAAGTAAATAAGCAATAAAGTTGATAAAAGTATTGGAATTGGAAGTAACTGCGTAGGGTGAGAAAAAATGTAAATCGATCGCATCCGACGAATCGAATGTACTAATGTTTGTGAAAGGAGTCGATGCATTACGAGTTTTTCCATTGATTCATTTAACGATCCAACTGTAAACACGTAGTAAAGTATTTTGATAGTGGGAATAAACTTTTTAAAGCTTTAGCAGCCAATTAAATAGTTTTTTTCAATACTTTAGAAAGCAAGCAAGTTTTTTTTTTATTTCGCACTCAATAACCCGTGTGACAAATACCTAAAATAAATACATCATATTATTTTTATCATTTCCTTTATTTTCTTTCTTCAAAAATGACAACTTTCATAGTAATAAAATTGGTTGTAATTATGAAATTTTTAATGTCTATTCTCACCATTGGTTTAAACAAATTCTCCCCATTCAAAGGTAGATCTTAATAATAAAAGGCTTTGGAATGTACAATCATCGATGAGATTATCCGAAGATTAGGCGCATACTTTGCCATTGAGTTAATAATACCATTTTAGGGTTGGTATATTTTGAAAGTACAATTATTTCATCGTGATGCTCAAGCAAATACGCTTCATCTACACACTTATTCCAGAAACTATGAATTAAGAGTGTGATGTCTGGGTGGAAATCGGTACTTCAGAACTTTTAAGTTCAAACAAACTATAGTAACTATAGTTTTAATAGATTCTCTAGAATACCGTATCAAAACAAATTTTCTTACTTAAACCAGACTAATGCAAGGCTTAATTCAACTGGTAATTTTTTATTTTCTTTTTTTGTAATTCTCTCAGGTTTTGTTGTTCCTTTTGATATTTAGTACTTAATAATTTCAAATGAAACAACGTTTAGTAATGAGATTTACTCTCAACAAGCTCAACCGTGTACTATTTAGTTGTAAATTTTTCTATACCAAAATATCAAGCAATATAGGTCTTCCGGACTTAACGATACTATCCATCACGTACGATCGAAAAATTAATGTGACCTATAGCTTACGTGGATACAAATAACGAGATTTGAAAAAGAAAAGCAGCCGATAACTTGCTATAGTCAATTCTCAGTTCGCACATCTCTGGGGATTTCCCGCTCTTGCAGTAAACTCCACGGTTTAGAGCCAACAGCAGCAGCTGGCCGGTGACTGTAAAGTAAAGCTTGGAGATTTCATTTTTCATTGCGTCCATACTTACACATCGCCTCGATTTTTTAGAGCTAAGCGCTTACCCCAGCATTTCTAAACCTTTCGTTGCAAAATAATTTTTTATAAAAATTAAAGGGGAGTATGGCGTAAATCTCTTTCCATCCCGACTCCTCCAGATATTCTTTCTTCTTCTTAGAGCTGCTCAATTCGGTAAGGTGGGGTTGAATTGGCCGCTTGACCGATTTTGCAGTGAGAGATTTCCTCCTGTCCAACAGTGAAGGAAGGGCGAAAAGTTAGTGGTTGCGAAAGCCAACTTCCTAAACTTTGGGCTTCTATTTTGGAAGACCAAATCTTTGATAGGATTCGCAGTGCCAATACGTGTAAGGTGTGTGTGCACGTGTAAAAGGACGCTAAATGCAAACGTTTGCAGTGATAGGGGTGTTATGTGGACTTGGCAGTTGCCACCCTCTCTCACCCTTTCCCTGTTTTCTGTCTAGGTCAACTTCTTCGTTGAGTATTGTCATGTGAGGTGTAAGCAGAAATCAACGCTGCATGAGGCAAATAAACATGTTGGCTAGCAATGAAAGTTCATTTTCATAATAGTTTACAGACAGTAGTAGCAAATAGATCGAGACTATTGTAAAGTCGAAGCTATATGGGTTAATCTCCATTTGTGCACTTCTGAATATTATGCGAGGTGGAAACGCAAATAACGTGTACTATCTAGTTATAGAGGTGATAGATTGCAATCCATGTGTAATCATGAAAGGTTATTGTTGATTTGTATACGTGTAACGTATGTATTTCATTTTTCATTTACTTGTATATAATTTTACTCCCTCGTATCAGTTTCTCAACTATAATTAAAATTGAGCATTTTAATTTATCATGTATGAGCACATAAACAAGCGTTAGAATACTGCGTTTGGAATATAACTATTTATTGTACTAGTATGTGCCTTAAATATTAATATTGACAATGACACCATATTTTTAATCAGAGTAGAACACACGTGGCTATGACAAGGGTTACTCTTCATAATCGCGTCTGACTTAGTATCCTAATTATTCTGCCGAAGTATCAGAGTTATTAGCTTTTAGATACATAGCGTTTGGCTGATGGATGAAACTTACTTGGGTTATGACTTTTTATGGTGCTTAAATGAATTCTCCCTAGTCCTCCCAAGTGGCGGCATGTACACGATTGCAATTGTCTTTCAACAATGCATGTCATAGCTGCATTTATGATGGAAATTTAAACTAAGAGTAACCAAGAGTGCGAGAAGAGTTAAAATGTACCGTCTTTCGTCACTTGCTCACGCATGACGCTCAAGCCCTGACTTTCTTACGTCCAGAATAAAAGTGCCCAAGTTGTAACTCCAAGCAGCGAGCCCGAGATATTTTGAGACGACACACTCCGAGTCAAGCAAGTGAAGGAGGAGGGAGGGGGTGGCGACAATTACGCCCCGGTCATCTCGCAAGTGCGAGAGCTGGGCTGACCAGGAATGTTAATAGAAAATACTT